CCCCAAGCTGACAAGAGTCACACTGCTGGTGTGTTTATAACATGGCAATATTACCATTTTCCCTGTATCTTCATATGTCAATTGGTTCCCACTCATTCCCTTTAAACATGTATTGAAGTGGTACATCCCTGGAGTGAGGAGCTGCTTTTATTTATTTGTTTTGTGGGTAAAGGATTAACCAAAATAGGTCAGCTTTAACTTATATTATTGCTCAAGACAATATCTTAATAATGCCACAAACCTGGCATTTTTCCTACACTGCTGTTCCTCTCCAGCTCTTTGCAAACCCATCTGGTGATGGCATCACTGTGTTTGATCCACCCTCCCTCCCTTGTCTGGTCCATAAGCAGTTCCTGCATTTGCAGTATGACTGTGCCATGGAGGGCCCAAAGTGCTGCCCCACCTCAGCTCCCATCTCTCCATGAGGCCATGGACATGTGCAGGACAGGCAAAGGAAAAAGGGGATTCAGTATCCCCCCACTTTCCCTTCAGAGCCCAGGGAGCTTCTGTCTGCTTAAGCTATTTCCAGTTCCTAAAGTTTTGAGCCAAGTTATGATGACAAATAATGTTTTCCTGACCCACACAGAGAGGAAATATACACTCTACACATTACCAGCGTGTGCTGGACATCATTCACTCCTGTGGGCCACGTGCCCTACAGCAATGAACCAAGTACTGAGTTACTCTGCAGGAGGCACCCCAAAATTTTGTGTTGTCCCCATTGCAATCACTCCCAGAACATTTAATGCCACTGGGAGCATTCTGGACGTGGCACAAAGAGAGCAGTTTCAAGCAGTGTATTCAATGGATGAAAAAACATTATGCACTGTTGTCCAAGCAAGAAGCCTCTGAAAAGCCTCAGAGCAAGATGAGTCTCAAACAACTGAAATTAGACAACAACTGAAAAAATGCAAGAGTTGCTAGTTCTAGCAATTATACCTTACTTACCTAATAACTGACAGCTTTTTACATTTTTTATACAGAGATTAATAGCCCACACATAACAAAGAAAATGGCAATGGTAGGAACTCTTACTGCGGTGCAAACAGCAAATCTATTAGAATAAATTTAAAGAGAGAGAGACTACACTTTACAGCTTTGTAACTATTTCAAACTAAACAGGTGTTGCAAAAGAAATAAAAAGAAATTTTAAAAACCTACCCTTCTTTTTATACTTATTAAAGTGGCGCCGTCCTTTGCCAGTAAGCCAAAAACAAACAGAATGAAAATAAAATAATGAAAAACCCACACAAGGAGAACAGGAAAATAAATTGCGAATAACATAAATCTGAATAATTAGAATGCTTAAAATCAGATTTAAAAGTCAACTGATCAAACATCGCACAAATTTATGGTTTAAAAAAATCCAAAAGCCTTCATTTCATTTAGATTAAAATATTAAACATGTTTCTTATTACAATTGCATAATCAAATAGAAGTATCTCCTAAATGGCAACTTCATGGCAGTTGACATAAGCTACTTGACTCCATTTTTGTCCTTCTTTCACAAATTGGACACCATCTCTTAGCAGGCTATGCTCATCATATCAATGTAGAAATCCCATGTGATGGTGCATTGTTCACCTTTTCAGATTAGCTAAAGATGCTTATGATGCAAATCCAAGTATTTTAAAATGCAAAATTAAAGGAGGCTCTGCTCACAGTTGCAAAACAGTATTTGACAGTGTCTTTGGAAGTGGTTTTGTTAAAGGAGTGGAAGAGTTGCATGCCCTTCAAATATCTTATGAGATGAAATGAAATTACAGCCAAGTCTGAGTCACTTCTAGGAACTCAACTCATTGTAACATTGAACTCCATTCCCAAGTGGTGAAAGGCAGGACACTAGGAAGGACGCCTGCCTGCAGATTCACCACAGACTTTGAAAATCCAAACTATCATCAGACACAAACAGCAAGAATTCTAAGCAAGAAGAACTTCTTGCTATACTTCAGTGGTTATATCACAGAGGTTACAGAAAAATAGAGATGAATAGAAAAAGGTGACAACACACCAAAAAATTAAGATAATTACAGCTGCATGTCTGATTCTTTAATTAATCCTTGGCAGGAGCATTACTTTTCACCAATAACTCCTACATGTAATTGTGGACAAGAGGTTACTCACAGTGCAGTTCAATTCACAGCAAATCTTCCACTGGCTTTAACTGCATACACTTGCTTTATTAGGACACATCTCCACATGGAATTATCCTTTGATTATCAGATTTTATTTTTCTTTGTATGCTATATCTTATCCATATGAGACCAAAATGTATCATTACCTTTTTTGTATGTCAGATGAAATTCTTTAACCTTAATAAGGTTAAACCCCAAAGGGAATCTTACCTAAGCAAGAATGGAGTAAATCTGCTGATACTGAGCGCCTGATAATAAGCTGTTTCCACAGAATGAGAGTGAGAAATACCCCACACAGTGTTTGGCAGGAGTGTTTGAGTGGGTGAAGTTCCATTTTGATCAGGGTATGAAACTGTATTACAGCCTGTGGGTTGGGCCAAAAGTTCATCTCTTTCCAATAATTTTCATAGTGTTTTCTTGAATCTAATGGATCTGAAGTCAAATCTGTACTATCTCTCACAGCTTTCCTTCATTTTTATCTTTTATAACCACGTGGATGGAGGGGTCCCTGTGCACTGCCTGCAAATGGTTGGCAGAGACTCCCCTGATGTCTCAGTGCCTCTGGGGGCCTCAGGATCAGCCCTGGAACAGGGTATTTGTGGGATAAAGAATCGTGTTTTCCTGTCTAACAGACTTGGGGTTCACACAACGAGAAGCTTGCAGACTGCTGTTATTGCATGGACCAAGTTCTTAAAGCCATCTGAGGAGCTTGTTCACATTTTCACCACATTTCTCTATTTGACTCTTGCCTCAAATTATTTTGTGGTGGAAAAATGAGGTATTGAAAGATGCATTGCTAGGGAAATAATAATTGAAAAAGTCAAGTTAAAAAAAAATCCTTCCATACTTGTGACAGTTCAAATATAAATTCATCTGTATGGTAGATGTACATTAAATAAATGTCCATACACGTAATATGATGTAAAAGATGTAATTCTCTATCTTATTTTGCTGTGCTTTACCCTGCACAGAATCCCAATTTTGATTTCTGTGTTCTGAAACTGCTCTCACCTATGAAGAGCACCCAAGTAAGCAGAAAAACCTGTGGCTGTGAGAACAAGCATGAAACAGGTGAGGTAAAAGCCCTTACACCCAGCTCTCAGGGTAACACTGTGCAGCTGTTCCTGCACAGAAACATGAGTTCTGTCAACACACCCATGTTCTCATTTTGTGTAGTTTTTCAACCTGCTTTGTTCTTTAGAAGTGCCATGATGTCTGACAAGAAAACAGCACAAGAGTTGAAGGAAGCTTCCATGAAACCATTTCTGCTTTTGAGGGGAAAGAGACAACACAGAAAGGACAAAGCAGGGAGCAGAGGGAATGCACGGAGGGGCAGGAGAAGCCTGACAAATACCGTTTGACAAGCACCCTGTAAAAAAGCTATTTATCTGTCACAGCCTGAACAAGTATTTTCTAGCACTAACACAGCATACAGTGCTACACAGAGGTTCAGTAGACAACGCAGGATTGCTCCACAACTCAAAATGCAAATGAATTGATATAATGGCCATGTGTATGTGAAGGCAGTGAAGCACACACTCACTGCATGCATACTTTCACAGGTTAACACCACAGAAATGCACAGAGCTGTCAGTCTGTATTTATAGCTCACATTATCACACCATTTACTTTGTGCAATACAGTTATCTCCTCTCTAGATTTACCAGCTGTCTTAATTTCTCAGGTAATCAAACAACTATTTCAAGTGTTCTGTAAAATGAGCAGGGTTGAGAGCTGAAATACCAGCCTTAGCTTTTCAAGGCCCTTGGGTTCTCTTTTATTTTATTTTTTTTTGTACTGGTGCACCTTCAAGAGCCAAATGTGGAGACAAAACCCAGAAATTACTCACTCCAGTACAACTATAGCAGTTACTCAAGGAGTATTTCATAGACACACGGATATGCTATAGCAGTGACAGAGGTGGGGCACAACGAACTTTCCTCATGACTGCATCAGCTGTCTAGGAAGAAATGAACAAATTTCTAAGGCCCTTCATATTATTTCAAAAAGCTTTCAATACTTTCAACACTTCAGAGCTTTTTGGAACACTAACAACCCCGTGGAAAATAATTGTAAGCATGATATTGATAGTGTGCCTAAATCTCACACAAACTAAGAAGGGAGAAAACTGTAAAATATTCTGAGTGTGCTCAGGAGCAGAGGGAAGTACAACCAAGCCACTGAATTTAGGCAACATATTTGCTGCTGGCTGTACAAACTAAAGAGGTCCTCCTTTATGAATCCTTTCCCTAAGACTGTCATCCAAAACTCCCAGAAAAACTTAATAAACACATACTACCAATCCACAGATGTCATTTAGATTTCCACTTAATCCTTGATAGCAATGTATTTCCCAGTTTTAGTTGTTAAAATTTACAACTGACATTCCATAAAATGTTTATTTTAAGATTTTATTAGGTCCTACCTCCTGTTTTTCTACAAAAGGCAAAGTTCCTTTGGTCAAAGAGTAATTTTATATGCAAGAGAGACACTTTGTACTAGAAGTAAGGCTCAGGCAAGCCAGAATATGTACTACACTCTATCAATGAAGACAATCAGTCTTTTCTTGCAGACCAGCTAATGATTATCAGAAAGCATTGATAATTCATCCACTTTTCCAGAAAATAAATATTTTCTGCCATTTCTGCCTACTACTTTTGCCACAGAAACAGGCTATAGCTATGCAAGCTCATTGAAAATGTGGCAATACTTCCTCTTGAACATATTTAACTCGAGATCTAAGAATAAAAAAAGCGAATTGTTCTATTTGAATCTAGCTCGAACCCATGTTAGCTAGCAGGCACTGTAGATCAATAGATCACAGACACACACTGTGGCTGTTTGTAAATATAGGGAAAATGATACCTTTAGCACAATCTGCTCCGTGAAATCCTGGAAAACAGTGGCAGACACCTGACACACACTCGCCATTCCCATGGCAATGACGTGGGCAGTCTTGCACCGAGTCTGAAATTAAAGCATCACATTAATTGGTTGGTTCCTACTTAGGCTACAGATTTCTTGTTTAATTTTTCTCCATTTTAATTTGTCCTCAATACTTAGGAGTACAATCCCTAACGACATGAACACCACAAGGTTCAGGTGAAGCAGCATGCACCGAGTTTCATGGCAGCATGAGCACGGGTAGAGACCTAGCAACATACCTGTGGACACACACATTCACAGAGCTGGGGAATTACAGCTTGGAAATTCTTTTCAGGCCTGGATTTCTCCTGACTCTCAGCTCCATTCCCAGGCTGACAAGCTGACTGCAGCTTCAGTTAGGGAGGAAATCTCCCAGGGTGATAACATGGTGAAAAACAGAGTGGAATTCATCATAAAGATTAACACCTGGTGTCTTTCCCGTGGGACACATCCTGAGGTGCTGTCCCAAGGATGTTTTTCCCAATTGTCCAATGAGCTCCTGTCCTGTCCTAGCTGCATTAACACACTTTAAATACGGGCTGTCCTACAATAAAGTTGGCCTCTTTTCCCCCAAATAAGTCCGTGTGTGTTGCTGTCTTTTCTCTCTCTTTGCAGTGCAGTAACCACACATACCAGAGTCACATATTAAGTTCTGGGCTCCATTAGAATCCAAAGTCTTCTGATAGTGCTCAAATCCTTGATTCCAAAAACAGGCAGGACCTCTTAAGAACTCTACAGCCATGCTTGAATTTATATTGTGTGGCAAACACAATGCTTCCTCAGGAAAATCAACACCCTCCCTTTTGCAATGAGACTTTGTTTTTGCTCAGCCACTCTGCTATGGGAAACTGATTATCCCAAGGACTGCGTCTTCTTTTCCTTCTACAGGCATTTAAAGCCTCATTAATTAAGCTAACAAAAATATCTGCTGAACATGACAAAGAGGAGCTCTTTTGCTCTGGCAAATCTACTCAATCCTTAAAAAAATAAATTTAAAAGGTGCAAGTGGCTGTGCAAGAGTATGAAAAAGAGTTCTGTAAAAACAGAGGACAAAGTTTAATATCAGAGCTTGAGTGACTGACTGAAATGTTGATGACTTCAATAATATGAGTAGACACATCAGCCTGATGACATTTCAGCTGTACCAAAATACTTAGTTTCCACGATTTCTGTTATAATTTGGATAAAGCATACACTACTTTGCATAATAACAATCTAAAAATAAAATTCCATTTTTGAAATTAATTCTTAAAATTATTTTAATTTGAAAGCTGCTGGATTTCAGTGGAACATATTTTCAACAGTGAATTATTGGAACAAAAATCTAATTGGAATATTACTTTTCGCTATCACTCCCTGTTGTTGTGGGACTTGTGGTTCCAAATGAAATGGTTCTATCAGCCCCAGGCATCAAACCAAGATGCTGTACAACACAGAAAAGAAAACTTGGATTTCGAACTAGCAGAACTATAAATTAAACTGCAAAGAAGAAAAGGATTCAAGTAGAACTTTAAATCTAATTTCACAGTTGCAGGACACCAAATACAAAAAGTGTAAAAAAAATTTTCAGAGAGATGTCATTAGCTTGGCCTCTTGAAATGATTCATGTAAACAATGAAAAGAAAAATTGAAATGTAATGCTCAAAGATATCAATTTGTCTCATGAAGAAGCTTGTTTATAGATTTATTCATTATTTTGCTTCATGGCACACAAAAGCATTTTCTATTATTCAAAATCATGGTAAATTTAGTATTGTCTAGGAGTTAACATAATTTCTGTTATTCTTCCTCCTCTTCCATACCAGAGAGATGTTCAGCTGTCTCAGAGCCTTTCATTATGAAGCATCTGATACAAGGTGTGTGCAGAACCAGATAAAACACTGTATTTTTCTCCAGATTTCATTTCAATTACTATCATTGCTCTATCAAGTAGCCTACGTGGCTATTACACCTTTGATGCTCTTGAAAGCTATAGCCTTGACCAGGCAACTCTTTAAAGGGCAGCTTATAATATCCTAAGGTTTTCCAAGCACAACAGGGGCATAACAAGAGAGAAGCACAAATGCTCTTGTTTTTAGAGAAGTGGAAAAAGCCTTCTATGAGGAAATTTTTAAGAAAAAGCATTTATATATTTATTTTTCAACATTCATAGAAAAGTGTTTTTTTTCATCTTAATTCAGGGTAACAGAAACAATTATGTTTGTACTTTATGGCAGTATTGATTATCCACCTACACCCTTTGGGACTTAGGCCAACAAACTGAATGTTACACTAACATAAAAGGAAAAAACCTGAAACTGCATATTTTTAATAAGGCAAGACTAGAAAACACCTCTGACTATTTTTCATCAAACCTAAAACCTCATTTTTACTTTTTACAGTTTCCCTAAACTAAGAGGAATTACAGATCTATACAACACAGTGCCTTTTAAGACTTCACCAGCCAAGGCAGAATACCACATAGGATACCTCAGAATTTGTTATACCACTGTGACATGATAGTCTGCAAAGTTCATTAAGAGCTTCAGAGGCCAACAAATCTAATCAAGTTTGGAGAATTTCGTCTCAGTTTGATTTTCAACTGAATGTAATCCTATTTTAACAAAACTGCAGCTCTATATGTTCTTCCACCACGTTGAGGAGATGACTCACTATTAGGTGAGTGGTAAGCTGTAAAACAATATACAGCTAATTAACTGGCTCAATTAATCTCTAGGGTGGTTGCAAACAATAATCTCATTTGCAGCTATCAGTTTCTCGAGCTGTCTTTCCACCAAGATTAAACAGCTCTCCTGCTGGATACTGTTCCACCCGGGTGTAAAGAAGCTTCTTCAGAGAAGCAAATAAAAAGTATCAAAATGACAGAGATAAGGGAAGGGAATATCAGCTGGGGAATGCTTCAAACCACACTGAACTTTTCTGAGCCTTGTTTTCCAAAACTAAACTCGAGATCTACGGGAATGCTAAAATATTAAGAGAAAAATGAGTGAATTAAAGTCAGCACACTCCATTACTAACTATCTGCCAGAGCAGTGTTGAGGAAAAAATGCACAGCATAACGTAAGGACAAAGAGGCCAAATACTGAGGACTGCAGGAAAATATTACAACTTTGGGTAAGGGAGGATATAAACAGAGAGGAAAAATGGCCAGCTGGTGGAAATACCTACCCAAAATGACTGTACTGAAGGAGACCACCTCTTTGTCCTTGCCGTCGTTGTAGAAGGCCAGGTGCCACAAACCCACATCCAGGTACTGAACAAACACAGCCTCGTTCTGGACAAGGGTCTGGATGCTCCGACGCTCCCGAGGAGACTCCACCACACTCCACTTCTCTTTGCCATCCAATCGCTCCATGAAATCATACTGCAGGGAGGAAAATAAAACAAAAACAAGGGAAAAAACAAAAGAGAACACAAACAAACAAAACCCCAAACAAACAGACCTGAATACATAATGTTTCAGCTCGAAATCTGACTCTGTTTTCTCCTCTACCTTGTTATAAAATGGTATTTCTGAAAGAAATGTGAAACTAATATTTTCTAGCTGACCATGGAACGTAAAGAGATTCTGTGACTTTTACTCTTTCTTAAACAGTGACCTAAATCTATGCATCTTCCCTCTGTAGAGGTGATCATAAAATGTACAAATTGACAGGATGGTTTTTGAGAAACAATTTGAAATCTATTATTTGACCCATTAATTTTGGGTTCCTACACAGCTTTCAGACACCCAGGAGACCCATACCCTTTTCTAGGCCTGCAATAAATTCTTTTTTGCAAGAGGAACTGACATCTGAGGTGTAAGTCCAGACATATCATTGAATGGAAGCCCCCAGAATGTGAAACAGGAATAGCACAAACAGGAAATGCGTTTGTCTAATGTAACTCATCACCAGATAAAAACACACTGCACAAGTTTTACACCACAGAGTAAAAGTTGCTTACCTGAGGTTGTATGAGGAACAATCAGGGCAAGTGTGATACAAAAACCAGCGGGAGCATGGAAAGGAATAACACAAATAAGGGAACTGAACTTATATTAAGGAAAATTGAGAATTTCTGTTTGGATGGCTTCCAAATAAGGTAGAACACTGCATTAATCTTTGGAAAAGGGATCAAACAGAGCAAGTGATTATTTAGAGCATAAGAGTGATGGCACCATTAATGGCATGAAACTTTAAAAAGAAAGAAAGAAAGAAATTTAAGATGAATGTCAGATAAGCTTCCCATCTATTAAGCTCAGTAAATAGCCTCCCAATGGAGATGCCACAATTAAACAAGACTGGAAGAAATATTGGTTAGTCTGCAACTGGGAATAACTCTGCATAACAAAACAGCTGGGCTAGCTGTCCTAATAGGCTATTTTTTTTTCTGTCTTTAATGTCTGTGATTCTGGAGCTCTCAAGCTCAACTGAGTGGATCTCATAGTCCCTATCTAAGGGAAGCCCTTAAGAAACACCAAAAACAATATATCTAATCTTTTGATAGCTGTATAACAAGTCCCCTATGAAAACACATCTTGTTTTAGACACATTTATCTGTGTAGGAGTAGATAGAGATAGATAGACATGTCTAAAGAAAGATGTATGTGTTCAATAAAATACAGTAATAGTATGTGCTTGCTTGCCAGTAGCTTCATTACATTTCCCTCCGTTATCTCCAACACTTCCAGGCGGTGCCTGCAACAGCTACGAGAAAAAATCCACCTTCCCTTGCTTTCAGTTTAAACAGAAAACTGCAACCTTGCCTCCTAAACAGAATAAACATCCAGAGAAGGCTGTCTTGCACACTGTATTCCTTTAATTAACTGTGAGCCCTAGCAAATTATTCATGATATGCAATAAAATAATGAAGATTCTCCCTTCTAGTGGAAGAGACGGACAAATTTAACACTTTAGTGCCATCACATCTATCCAAAACTGGGGTATAAAACCTCACCTTTCTAGCTGAAAACCTATTTTGTACCAGCATTATAGAGTCCTGGTATGCTCAGCCTTACAACAAAGGGAAATGTCTGGAAGAACTACTGCTTCCTGGTAAACATGTGGAACTGACACTGACTTGCAGCCTTTCCACAAAGGAAATCCATGGCAGGGAGGAATTTGAGCCCCAATCTACTAATGTTAAGAACTATCATCACAGTGAGTGCATTATCCACTCTGTCTATTATTCTATGCTTTTAAATGAGGGACAAAGTAAGAGAAGTGGAATAAAAAGTTTCACTCAATATCAGATTGCCATCCACTTGAGCCTTTTTCCACATATGATTTTTATGGGGAAAGGTAAATCAGATAAATTAGTAGAACTAAAGCAAAGCATGCCAGAGATGTAGAGAATTCTGGCATGCCAGTAACTTTCAGCATATGTGAGATACCAAACATACATATATCTATCTCTGAAATCAATGGCATTTGGAAAGATTGCTAAAGCCCATTGCCTAACAGAGGTTAAGGACAGACTCATCACCTCCTTGGGAAATGTTATTACTTGGGCAACATCTTGGGAAAAAGAAATTGTGCTCTTCAGAACAATTGTTCACAAAGGGTCAACTAAGGAAGCAGCAATAAAAGCTGACATTTCTCACTGGCAACACGCTGTTCGTCTCTGCTTGTGCTGGCAGGTTCCTCTGCCTCCCTCTGTTTGATGCTGATTCTACCTCATATAGTAGAGAAGGCTCAGCAGTTGGCCAGATCGAAGGGGAAGAGTTTTCAGCCTGAAACTGCTTGAAGTAGTTTTAGCTGCAGAATCTCTTTTCATGATGATGGGGTGTGACCTAGTGAGAGCAGGTCCCTTGGCACAACGATTTTAACTCTGGTACAGTTAAGAGTGGTATTGCCCCGCTTAAATCAAACTATGACAAATAATTTAGTGTCCAGGCAAAAGCAAAATGACCAAATCTGGCTAAGTCTGTGAATGCTGAAGTACTGGTGCAAAGTGATTCAGAAAACAATAATATATTTTTATCTCTGGATTTCTCAGGACTGAGGGGAAAAAAGAGAAGGAAGTTAATGTATCTGTTGGTGGTTCCCTGCATGTATTAATCTTAACATGTCAGTAAGGACTAGGTGTATGTGCCCCAAAATCGAAAATCCCCGACTGAAGGGTCACCAAGATGACACTGTGAACTCATAAGCAGATAAGATTTCTTCACATGCTTGGCTGAATCATCATTTTGCTTTTCACGGCCCTGTTGATTTTCTGATTTTCCACCCTTGCATGATTAATTACTTTTACATAATGTTGTGCTGAAGATACTGCTCTTGCTTTAAAGCTACTTATTGGCATATATGAATAGATTAGAAGACCCATCTAGGAAACGGAGGCAAGTAATTTCATGATCATTAAAAAGCAACTGTGGAATTCTTAATCTAACACACACACACAACTGCTATGGAAGAGGCCACTAAATTACATGAATTAGGGAATGGACATGTCAAACGAAATTAAATTTCTGAAGTAATTTGGAAGTTTCCCTGACTTTTGTCTTTCTTGTATTCTTTTTTATGATCCTTTATATTCCATGGCTTCATACTGAAAGTCACATAAAAATGGCTAAAACTGCTCAGGAACAACATGCTACAGAAATCCCAAATGACTACATCATCAGAGTTCAATTTTGCAGCAGGGAGTACTTACTATGATTAAAGCTCAATATAAGCAAGTGACTTGCCAGCCTACATTGCTAAACAAATTCCAAATTCACTCTCTTGGTGAGTTTGTTTATTTTTACTACCCAGCACACTGAAATCCTACTGCTTACTCTTATTTACAAACCTAAAATCTCATGCTAAGTTCTTTCTGGGCAATTTGTTTTTATAATTTCTCCATTCAGGGCTCTCTACCCTCTGGTGCATTTTATTCATAGACCAATAAGGACTTTCTTTTTCCAGTAACCACGGGGAGTCAGCAGAACAGTTTGGGAACTTTACACCTATGGTTGTGACTGCAGCACTGCACAGACCCACCGAGCCCAGTCACACACAGAGGAAGGGCACTTGCCCTGGCCACTTGTGACCACTGCAAAGCAGAGAGAGCTCGCACGGCTCAGGACTGGGAATGCAGAGAGCTGCCATTACCTTCAGGGATTTTCTCAGATTTGAAACAATTCACAATGTCCCCACAAAATGCCTAGGAGTTTTTGAGACTGGGAATTGAAAAGAAAGATCTATTAGAGCTCTTGTCTCAATAAGGGATGCATATTCAACAGGAGAGGGGAGCATGCTTGGCATGGTGGCGAGCATTTATTCCAAAGCCCTGTAGGATCTACACAGCCAGGAAAACATATGGCAGGGAAACTTGTTTGCAAAGTGCTCTAAAATTAGTTCTTCATGAAATCCAGTTGGTAATTATTCATTAAAATATAGCCATGAAACATCTGACACCCATGATGGCAGCCAAACACCAGTTTGTTCCCACGTTTGGATGTGCCACAAGCCAGCCAGTTCAGGCCAGCCCCGTGGCCATCAGGCAACTCTGAGGTGCTCAGAGCACCTAAAAGTGTTTGAGCACCTGCTAAAAACCAAGGAAACACTGATGCTCCTCTGCTCCCCAAGGTTTTTTTTCAAATAAATCCATTTCCTGTACTGAATGAAAAGAGTTTTCATTTTGACATGAAAAATTTATAAGTATAAACCACGCTGCTGGAAATGAAAACAATACAGTTCCACGTACTGCCTTCTCCAGACATTCCAGTGAAGTTCCTCTCAGGTTACCTCATTTCATGCATCATTTGGAACGTGCTACCAGCATGTAGCAACACCATAATTGCTGTAAGCTCTGCAGAGTCACTTCATGCATTATTTGACATTTACAGTTTGGTTTTTATACATTATCAATTCTATTAATATGACTCTCTTCTGCTAAATTCCCACTGATCATTCAAGCCTGCAATGTGCATTTTGTTTTTTCTGCATAGCATTACACAGTTTGGAGGGATTTTGCCCAAAAGCACTGCATTCCTGTTTGTAGTCTGCTTGCCACTCAAAACTGCATTTTTGCCTCTTCTCCAGAGCTCCACTCCCATGCACGTGGCACACAGGCTGCATCCAGACAAACTTACAGCTACATCAGTTTGACTGACTAAACCAGGCATTTGGAATATTTGCTAAACAGTAATACTGAGAAGGTTAAATCTCAGCAGGGCTGTCAGACAGGAACTGCATCTTGTTGTCTCAGGTTAATCATGTACCTAATTTGCTGATTATTGACTTGTACCCACAAAGGATTTTACTCGGCTTGACATATGAGCACTGATCAGTGATGAACTGTCAAGCTGTTCACTGCTTTAGAGCTCATGTCCCTAACCTACAGAAACAAGGATTTTAAATTTCAATTTTAAAATATCGTCTGGTGTCAACTTCAGGCTGTTTTCATTCATACAAAAGTATTGTGCTCCTTTCTGTCAGAACAAGGCTTGTTTTTCACTAACTCAGGTCTGTAACATCTTGCCTTTCTTATTCAAAAATATTTTCTCTTGGTCGCAGCTTTTTGATTGCTGGGCAAAAATGCCATGGAATCACCTGCTGTAGAAGCCAATTAACAAGCACCATGACCCTGCCTGAATGTGGGAAAGTTTATGCTGGTTTATATGCAGATTCAGACCAGGTCTATGCTAGTATATATACAGCGGGTTTCATTAACCCCACTTATGAAGAGGTTTAGAACTGCTTCCCCTGAAGACTGGAAAACAGGTCCCCTGAGGAGGAATCTAGCTCAAGAGGAAACACAGATGATATTTCTAATTATTTGATTTAACAGAAAGGTCATAAGATTTCTATTCTATCCATGTGAGGTGGAGTGAAAGAAAAATCTCTGCCTGATCACAGCCTTCTCAGATCAGAACATCATAATGAAACCTAGAACAAATACATCTGATCATACTGCAATATAAAGTTCATCCTGAATTAATTTTATTTTTTTTATTACCAGCTACTTCCAACTGGATTTCTTGTAAAAGATGCAGGCATACCTTCCTCATGTTTTAGTCAAAAAAATTAAAATTAACCTGTATTTATAGCAAACTTTGATGATTGCTTCGGAGCTTTGGCTGCCCTATGTAATCTTCATTTCATGATTTATACTTTTGTTTGTTTTCCTCAACTAAACTGCCATTTTATTCATGATGGAATAGGGGAAGTGAGCACTAAAATTCTGAATGAATTATACCATTACTTCGCTGGAACAGCTGAAGATCCACAGACATAATTTCACCCTCAAGACAGCATATTGAATGAAGCTTTACAGCCAAAATCAAAACATTCTTAAGAAATGCTTCCACCCTGAAACATATACTCTGAATATATATTTTTTGTGTTGCCTGGATGGCTGGAAATTACTGAAAATCAGTCAACACCCTTCTGCAATTTCTCAATTTTTTTTAGTCTTTGTATCAAGTTTCAGGACACCATGTGCTAACATGGAAAACTGACCACACGTCCTCCCCTCTTTGAGCTGTGCATTGCTGATCCTGATTTCTTACCAGTTAAACACACCCATTCAGTAACTCACAGAGCATTGGAAAACAGCTTACTACAGTAAGTGGATGAATTTTGCACAGCCAAAGCTCCTTCTGTACAATTTCTTAGAAGCAGAGGTAATAAACCCATATTAACCTCCTCACTCCTTTACTCCCATGTCTAATCAAATATTTTGGTCCTCAACTTATCATTTTTGTCTCACAGATAACTGGATAGTTTTATCCCAATTTGTGTCAAGATTATATGAGAGGTTTAAAAACCTTGTTTGAATGGCAAGGACATAATTACTTCTTTCATGAATGTATTGTTGAAGTATGTAACAACTTAAAAATACTAAGATGAGGGTGGTGCAGTCAAATATCACAAATGAAGGAATTCAGGAAATCTCTGAACTTGAATTCTGTAAACTCCAACATAAACCTAACAAAGATGACCTAGATTCTACATTCTGACATTCAAAACCAACAAATACATTGATAAAGTACCTGGGCATGTGATGGTGGGAGTCCTCTTCTTATATAAACACCAAAAAGAGCATCCTTCCCTAAGGATATGTTGAACTTCAGGAACTGTGGCTGGCTGATATGAATCTGAGACCTCCAAAAAACTCCAGGGGGCACCTCCTGGGTGACCCTGTGGCCAACTTCTGTTTCTCCACTATCTATGCTGCTATTCCTAGTGACCCATGGTCCTATAAAACAAAAGCAAATATAAATCAAATGAGATAATTTGTTTTAATATAGGTAGTTTAATTCATTCAAAATGAACATCTGTGGCAGTGACACCTCTTAAATCAAACTGTAACTTTCTTATTCTGATGCAATCTGCTCATTGTTTCAATCAGCATGTAAGAATTTGGCCCTTATATTTGAAGCAAAAACTGTGCAAACCCATTTTTCTGTAGAGCATCAGCAATCATCTAATCCCTCAAACCCTTTAATTCTGTGATTGTCTCTCACTGATCAAACAGCAACAGCAGAGAGTCAATTAAGCACACGTGAATCTCCCTGTGCTCTTTTCAGTTGCATCTTGTACACAACCATGGTATAAAAATTGCCAGAAAGGTGAACTGAAGGGGAACTTCAATCTAAATGAACCGATGACAAATTTTTATTACCACTGTTGTCTTCAATAAAGTAGTCCAATAGACTTTAGGTCACAGACAAGAGAGTTGACAGAAGAAATGAAATGCACACAAAAGGGTTTAGAGGACAATTTCTCTATTCTGATGTGCATCTTCTCCTTGAAACAGAGTTAGCACAACTCAGTGCAGTGCCTTTTAAGTTCTCTCTGCCTGAAGCAGGTTCTATCTACAAGTATTTTTCCCTCGTGCTGTGGTTAGTTAAAATCCATAATTTGTTGGTTTTTCAGCATGCATTATTGAAGACAAGATACAAGGCCTTTCTGGTTGAGTGCTCTGGCTTCCAGCCCATGAAACAGTCAACTCTAAAATATGGTGCAAATCCCTTCTGTTCTCAACTGAACAGGTTCTAAGGCTACACATATTTCAAACGTGGAGTGCAGAACATGGAATTAGCAGTGTTTTTAAGCTACAATATGCAGCAATGCTTGATTTTGTGTTGTGTTCCCGAACAATTTAGTGAGAAATCCAGTTAAAAATTCTTACAACAGACACTATAATAAACCAGAAAACCACAGAAAAGATCTGTTAACAATCACAGAAATTTAAAGGTATCACTTATAACACTATTACCATAGACAGAATGGTAGTGATACCTCTGATACAACCTGACAGTATTTCTAACAAGCTCAGTGTTTACTTCATGGTTTTTTTTCTGCTGTGGTGTAATGCTGTTTTCAATAAATGGCAAGTTACTTCTGAAATACATCCCAGCACTGTATGAATGTAATGGGATGGCACAGAACAACATATAATTCCAGCAGGTAAGTACATAACAGCTTTTCTGTCTTGACTATCTTTAATTGAGAGAGCTGCAAAAGCACGGTTTCAATTATAGATTCTAAATTATCTATGTTAGCAGCACTTACATTTGTACATAATGAAACAGATACTATGTTGGCAGTGTTTTGAAATGGTAAAAGAATGCTCTGAATACCAACTGCTACACAGTTTTTGGCAACTTGTTTGTTTTTTTCATTTTCTATGTTAATGGGTCTACAATAACATTACAGCATTAACAAAGAAAGAGAGCAGAAGAAGCTGCAAGAGGCTGCAAAAAAAGGAAAAATGGCTGAGAGTGTCAAGCAATGTGCCCTTAGAGCCACCAGAAGCACAGAATGCAATGAGATCCAAACATGTCCTGCTTCATGGAAACTACACTACTTAATTTCTAATGGAAACAGAGGATATCTCAAGGTTCTTATCTCAACGAAAGCAGGCACCATCTTACTAGAATTTAAATTAGTTCTTACCCACCCACGTGGAGAGGAAAAAAGGGGCAGAGAACACACCAAAAATCACCTGTGGCATGTTATACTGGAATCACTGGCAGAGCTGGGAAGTCAGCAAAAGATTGCAGGCACCTGCACCTCCTTTGAGAACATTACATTTACTTCACAATTACAACATATGGTAATGAATGATGAATATTTTTTCAATATTCTTAAAAAGCCTGCTATAAGTAATTTCTTTGGAGTCAGACTGAGCATTCTTTAATGAACATCAATTGTATCTCATCTGCAAAAGGCTCCTTGACACACTCTAAAGAACCTTGTTCTTCAGGAGCAGTATATCCATAGCAAACCAGTCAAAGAAAAAACTATTTCCAGGAATTATTATTATTATTATCCAGTGCAGCAAAGGTACAGAGCATGTGAATGGAAAGGCCACCATGGTCTCTGTTGGCAGTTAGAGTTTCACTGGCTATTAAAGCAACTCCAAAACTGCCAATGGCTTTTGCTAATTACCTATATATTCTCTAGAATTGTAACTTTGTAAATAAATTTAATTCTAATGGAGGATCAAGTTTTAGTATTTCTGGATAAATTAAGCCTCAGCTTCCTTTGGATATCCCCAAATTCTGCTTTGTATTATTCTCTGGGAAAGGGCATTTCTCAGGACTCAAGTATCCTCAAATACATCAATTAAGCTAAAATCATAAAATTTCAGCCATCAGGAGAACCATTCATACGACTTCAGCGTGCAAAAGTTAAAAAAATATATTGTATATCAGACTTTCCCCTAAAAAATTACTAGAAGAAGACCATTCCTTTGTATTTCTCATCAAAATGTTGCTGTTATCATGGTGAAATAAAAATTGGTGAAAAGTGCAGATAAGACAATTGAATTAGTAGTTATTACTGAGCCTAGAGACATGATTCAGGTTCCTAACACTGAAATTATTCTGCTCAGTTTGATATTATCCTTGGAAGCATCTCCTCACAGATGCGTTTTTATTTTGCTCTACAACACAAATGACCTGGTTTCTAGTTCTCCAAACCACTCCTCCTGGAACATCTTAGGAAAATCTCCCCAGGAATGGAATTGTGACAGGGGTTCACCACAGCAGAGGATTTTAAGAGCAGGTTAGATGATCAGCTCTCACAAGTGATTGAGATATATTTAACCTGCAGCAAAGAATGGGGCAGATGGCTGACTCTTTTCAGTCTGTATTTCTGTAGTGCAGCATGCTCTATACCCAGCCTGTACCACATCTGCAAGGAACAGCTGCTGCTTCACCTCTGGCATGCTGAAAGGATCCTTTCCTTTTGCTTTTAAGAATTTAATTCATAACATCCTATTTTTATGGAGCTACATTACTATGCTGTAATAACAAAATTTAGAAATGCTTGAAGTTATACTAAAATCTAGGTTTCATATTTGCAAGCTTAGCTAACAACTTATAAAGTTTTAAATCCAACAAGATATCAATAAACTCTAAAGATTATGCATTATTGAATCATGCTCTCATAAATTCCTGCTGAGTTACCCTTGTTGGTATGAGACACAAAACTAGTGACAGCATCTTGGTTCTGCTCCTTGCTCTGATCCTGCCAGTGCACCTGAGTTGGTCATGATCTTGCTGCTCTCAGATGCCTACTTGTAAAACAGAATTATTAACAATCCTCACCTTGAAGATGAGGAAGACAGAGCAGTAAATATAAATATTACAGGAGGTATCTCAGCACTGGGCTCTTCATGTTCCTTCCTCCCCAGGGTATAAATACAGAGAGGAAATGCAAAGTAGATATGACCACTGAATCTACCTTAGTTAATAGGCTAAAGTTTATTTTTTTTAACCTGAAAAGTGGACCATCATCCTAGCTTTGGTATTTGCAATGCCTTTTTCTGCACTAACAGCTTCACTGGAAAACCCTGCCACTACTCAAACTTTTTTTATAGCTCCCTTCAGTCCTCACCTCCTAATGCAGAGAATGTATCTTGCCACCTGACTCACTCCCCTCCAGCTATTTTTAGAAGCTTTTCCATTTGATGGACCACTGCAGATCACATTCAAAGATCATCAGCTGCATTTAAGTGAAGTTAGAGATGTGAGAAACTGACAAATCTGTGAAGAAAGACTAACCCGAACTACTCATACTGCTGTGAACAAATGAATCCCAAGATCATTCTCTCTGTTGTGGGTGACTGTTGTAAAGTTCCACGTTTATCTCATAACCCCATAGATACCTGATTTTTTTTCCCTGTTATTTTCTCTCTATAAACATCTACAAAAAGAGTTTTAAAAGCATACTTCTTCATCTTACCCAGGGGAGCCATTTCAATCACTCAGTCAAACATATATTCATCAACTAAATAACACTTACTCATTTAAACTGCTGTTTTATTTACCCAGCTGAATTACTATTTTGGCATATACATTTGAAAAGACTGTTTTAGCATTCAAGAGTATTTGCCTTTGAAACTATCAGACAGGCAATCCATGACAACAGCAGTGCAAACTCCCCCTGCTAAGCTGTCAGCAGGTTTCATCTGTGTGCTGGAGGTCAGATTCAAGGTGGCAGTGGATGGACATGCCCAGTCAGCCTTTAATTTAACTGATGTCAAGCAGTGTCAGCTATGGAGGCAGAGCTGTATTTACACTGAAACCAGATATACTTGATTATTTATAACTACAGTATCCTACACTGTAGCTAAAATTAAAAATAAAAATGAAATCTGGCTACCAGCAGTGTCACACTACAGACATCAAATTTAAACAGCAATTAACTCCAGCGCTGTGACTGTGTTCCTCTACCAGGGGGATGACTGCAAATTGCATCTTGATGGCACTCTTGAAAAATACCTAGCAGAATAACTATTCCAATGGATCAGAAATGATCTACCAAGATAATGTGGACAACCTCAAATTAAATACAAACAATAAATATCACCAGGGTTGGTTAAATTCTCTTTACCTTCTTTTCCTGTAATTCTATATTTCTTATAAATCACTGCTACAGACAGAGCTTACCTTATCTTTTTATCTAGCTTATTTTTATGTTGTTCTTTTTATATAGCCAGAGATTTTCACAGATGACTTGGAATTCTGAAGATATTTATGGTACAGCTGTGTAAAGGAAGCTATTTAATATAAACATAGATTCCACTGATGTTTTGCCAAAAAAGACCATGTGAGAATTACTATGGTTCTCCATGATAGTTTAACTTTTTTCCTTAAGTAAATTTGCTACTTATATGACCAGACACATCTTATTGTTCCAGAAAGACAAATAAAGTAGAAAACGCCTTTTCCATACAAATATCTT